TGCCCGGAACCCCACCTGCCGCCACCTACCGGGCCACACGGACGCTTCCTCGGTTGCTCCGCCATGTTTCCAGAACACCTCGCGCTTGCCAATCAGCCTCGCCTCTTCCGGCCACTCCTCCGCGAAGCTGCCCAATCGAAGGCCCTGCGGCCCGTGGGGGCGTGGCCTATGAGTCGTGGGGAGGTGGGGCGCCTACACGGCTGGTGCCCGCCCATGAGCTCCTGCCTCTAAGTGTGTGAATACGCAGCAGCTCACCGTGTCTGTCCTCCCCAGGGCATCTGGGCAACATTCAGCTTCCATGTTCATGTAAATTACTTTAGGAGTAGTTAAATTCAATTAGTTCATAAGTGCTCCACCAGTGACTTACATTCCCAACCCCGTCCAGACTTTATTCCTTATCACTTTTTGCTTTTGTGTGATTTTCCTTCTTAAGCCTTTGCAATACTTGATTCTGGGCCATTTCCCAGGAACCTGGCTATGAACCTGGCCTGAGCCCATCTACCTGACCAGTATTTAATTAGAGCTTGCTTCAAATTTGCTTAAAACTGTGGTCGTGGTCTTATTTTCCATCGGTGGGATTAACAGGTGCCACCCCCCCCCCCCCCCAAACAACCCCCCCCCCCCCGCCCCAAACAAACAAACAAAAAACCCTTTTATGCCTGGTAGTTTTATATTAACTTTTTGTTTTATTTTTCAAGACAGGTTTCTTTGTATACCCCTGGCTGTCCTGGAACTTGCTCTGTAGACCAGGCGGGCCTCAAACTCAAAGATACACCTACCTGTGCCTTCCACAGACTGATATTAAGGGCAGAGCTTGTATTAACATTTTAGAATGACATGATACTTTGTTGCAGTTGGGGAGGAAGTTATTGACATTATCAACCAAAAAACATTCTCTCTTTGAGTTATACTTTCTTTTTGTCTGTTTTGCTTGCTTTGGTTTTGTTTGTTGAGATAGTGTCCATCCTCCTGCCTCATCCTCCCAAGTGCTGAAAATAAAGGTGTGCATCACCATGTTCTCTGGGATTTTTTGTTTGTTTGTTTGCTTTTTCGAGAGAGGGTTTCCTCTGTGTAGCTTTGGAAGCTGTGCAGGAACTCGCTCTGGAGACCAGGCTGCCTCTGCCTCCCCAGTGCTGGGATTAAAGGCATGCGCACCAACCCCCGGCTGTTCTCTGGGTTTTGATGTTACTTATTTTGTTTGTATGAGTGTTTTGTCAACAGGTATGTCTGTGTACCACAGGCTTGCCTGGTGCCTGAGGAGACCAGAAGAGAGCACTGGATCCCCTTGGACTGAAGTTACAGTAGAGTGTAAGCCACCCTGTGTATCCTGGGAACTGAACCCAGGTCCTCTGGAAGAGCAACCATTTGTCTTAACTGCTAAGTCATCTCTCCAGTGCCCATGTCACTTCTTTGAAGGGGGATGTGACTCAATAAAGGTGTGCATCACCATGTTCTCTGGGATTTTTTGTTTGTTTGTTTTTTCGAGAGAGGGTTTCCTCTGTGTAGCTTTGGAAGCTGTGCAGGACCTCGCTCTGGAGACCAGGCTGCCTCTGCCTCCCCAGTGCTGGGATTAAAGGCATGCGCACCAACCCCCGGCTGTTCTCTGGGTTTTGATGTTACTTATTTTGTTTGTATGAGTGTTTTGTCAACAGGTATGTCTGTGTACCACAGGCTTGCCTGGTGCCTGAGGAGACCAGAAGAGAGCACTGGATCCCCTTGGACTGAAGTTACAGTAGAGTGTAAGCCACCCTGTGTATCCTGGGAACTGAACCCAGGTCCTCTGGAAGAGCAACCATTTGTCTTAACCGCTAAGTCATCTCTCCAGTGCCCATGTTACTTCTTTGAAGGGGGATGTGACGAAGAGGTTCACTGTGTATCTCACACAGGCTTTGACTCAAGATCCTCCTACCTAACCGGGCATTGGTGGAGCATGCCTTTAGTCCCAGCACTCGAGAGGCAGAGGCAGGTGGATCTCTGTGAGTTCAAGACCAGCCTGGTCTACAAGAGCTAGTTCCAGGACAGCCTCCAAAGCCACAGAGAAGCCCTGTCTCAAAAAACCAAATAAGTAAATAAATAAAACTAACAAATGCTTTTCATTTGATCAGATATAAGTTGCCAAAAGGGAACCTCCCCAAAGTTGGGTTGGGGCAGGGTTTTATTTTTGTCTTTCTGGGGAATAAAGGCATCCAGCTGAGGAATCTAAAGACCACTGGACAAATGAGACATCTGAAGAAAAAGGTTAAATCATCCAGAAAAAATGTCCCCCAAAAAAGTATAAATTAGCCTATTGGTATATCACATCTCCTGAAAGACCCGAGAAGAGGTACTTTCGTAGAAGGAGACCCGCACCCAGGAATCAGCGAGACCACGAACTTGGACGCAAAAGCAAGAGGCTTTATTGGTGGCGCGCGTACCTGGGGGCTTTGCTTCTGTTAGGCCAAGCCCCAAGCCCCGGAAGGGGGGTCCTTTTATAGGGGAAAAAGGCACAGTAGTAGTCAGGCGAAACGGCCTTTATCTTCTGCTGCGTCCAGATGGCTGACCTTGGGACGGAGCGATCCGGCGGGGGCCGGGGTTGGCCTTGCGCGGCTGCGGGGAAGTGAGAGCCGGCAGCTGTGGGGATCAAGGGTCGGGGAGTGCAGGGGAGGATGTATTCCCCGCGCGCTCCGCCAGCTGTCGACCAGGGAGAAGGAGACAAACTTAAAAGAAAAAGCTAAGGGCGGGGGTCTTTCACTCCAACAGAATAAAATTTCATAAATCTTTGCAAATGTTTGTTTCTGCTGTTCTCTACAGATATATTATGCAAATGGTCTTTTTGTAGTCCCAGTCTAATTAAAAATTAAAGTTGGCTTTGGAGTTGGAGTGTGACTCTCTTTCTCTAAACCCAAGCATGCTTTTTAAAGTAAAATCCAAAAATCTCTGTCTAATGTTAGAAGAGCCACCTGATATGGGATAGAAGATAAACCAAAATTAAGGGACTATTTTATTGCCACTAGTCTCATGATCCTTTGGTTCTATTTTGACTCTTTAAAACTTTTGTTTATTTGTTTGGTTTTTTTGTTTGTTTTTTTAGACTGGGTTTCTCTGTGTAGCTTTGGAGGCTGTCCTAGAACTCGCTCTGTAGACCAGGCTGGACTTGAACTCAACAGAGATCCACCTGTCTCTGCCTCTCGAGTGCTGGAATTAAAGATGGGTACCACCACTGCTCAACTTAAATTTTTTCTTAAGATTTGAATATTATGTCAAAATATATAAGATTAATATATATGTATATATATACATATATTAAACTTTTATTGTGATATTAATGGTCATATAAGTACTAATTTTAGAAAAAGGCTTCATCTAGCTTCCTGTACATGACTTCAAGTTTGAGTCTGTATCAGGTAACTAGGAATTAACTTTTATACTCTGGAGGTCCACAAATATTGATCTTTGAACCTCTTTGAGATCCGATGTATCTGATATTTAAAGTGTAGGGCTGGAGAGAAGGCTCAGAGGTTAAGAACACTGGCTGTTCTTCCAGAGGTCCTGAATTCAATTCCCGGCAACCACATAGTGGCTCACAGCCATCTATAATGAGATCTGGTGCCCTGTCCTGGTGTGTAGGCAGAACACTGTATACATAGGAAATAAATAAACTGTGGTGATATTTTCTTTAAAAAAAAAAGTTTAAGTTTTCTGCAGTGAACCAAGACCTTACCTAACAAAGGACCTTTGAAGTTTCCAAAAGGGTGATGGAACCCCACAAGGACGATTTCACCAGGACTATGATAATGCCACTAAGCTGACAAACACCACCCAAAGATTGGCTTTAGGCTACAAACTGCTTAGGACAGTTTCAAGATGGCTATCTGAGATGGTCCAGCCTCACAGACTACTCTAGCCAGGACTTGAGATAAGCCCTGCACTTTCCCATTACACAGAGTGGACAAGTGATATGGCTAGCTCCCCCAGAACTTGATAATTATCCCAATTTTTTTCAGGGTCCCCTAAAGATGCTGTTACCCCCAGACAACAGGAAGTAATTTCAAGAACATGATGCCCACATTCCCAAGAGGTGGACAGAACTGTTTTTGGTCAATCAGTGGTTATGGATATTTATCACTGTTTAGGGGTGGTTGGTTACAAGATGTTTGTTGGTTATGGTCAGGAAAAAAGCTGAAAAAAGGAGATTAGATTCAGGGATCTCATTCTAAAAGTAAAAGGGGGATTTAGAAATATGATAAAAAAAAAGGTAGATTATTGGGTTTTGATACAGGGTTTCTCTGTGGCTTTGGAACTGTCCTTGAACTAGCTCTTGTAGACCACACTGGTCTCGAATTCACAAAGATCCGCCTACCTCCCAAGTGCTGGGATTAAAGGCATGCGCCATCACCGCCCGGCCTACTAAGACATTTGCTGCTGTGCTGCAAAGCCATAGCAGATTGGAGGTGATGTTGAGGGCTGGATTTTTCCAGTGAGGGAGGTCCTGTTAAATTGAAAGCCCTACCCAAACTGAATTGGGAAGGAAGGGAGCAAGCCTTTGCTTCTGACAGTGCTCCCACCTTCTGAAACTGTCTGCCTTTTAAAGCAAGTCCCTTTACTGATGTGTTGGACACTACAGTACCTGTCCCTGGGTGAACAGGGACCTCTGAAACCTTCTTTGTGACCTGGCTTAATTTGTGTTTCATCCTATGGTTTTTCTAATGAATTTTTAGGACTTTTGTAATCTTGTAACTATCCAAGGTCCACTTCCTAAATTTTAAGAACTTTAATGGAAAGTTTAAATTGAAGGTGCTGTTTGTAGACTCACCACCCAGTGGACGCTCAGTCATCACTACAAATCCTTGAGTGTTCTCTAAGAAAGTGATGCTGGTCATCACAGCTTCAGCATCTCCTGGGTTTTGATGCTTGGCTCTCTCTGCTAATCTTGGCTTCCTGGCTTTTTTTCCCTCCTCCAGTTCCTTCTTGCCATCTGCTGTCCTGTGTAGTGATTTGGTGAGAGAAAGTATGCTTTTGTCCCCTGCCCTCTGCACCAAGTTTTATTATTGCAATAAAAGTGTTTTATGCTGACTTTTCTCAAAAAAAAAAAAAAGACATAGAATGATAAGTTTGGGTTGGTAATATAAGTTAGGATAGAAAGTGAATTAGGTATAACACTTTAAAAATATATATATG